TTGGGGATAGATGGCGGGCACAAGAGGCCCTAGAGGACGGGGATAAGATGTGCAAGAAAATTTTATGTAGTTTGTGGCAGAAACGTAAAGAGCTCCCAAATGTTGGTGGTGTCTCTAGTAGGGATAGGAACGGTGCTCCGTCTCGAAAGGGACGCGTGGTCAATGGTCAAATGACTACGGCAAGCAACAAATGAGTACGCCCCCCTAAGTTAGATGGCTTCCGGAAGTCGATTTGACTTCCATGGAATCTGTTCGTCTGTTTCGGGTTCCATCTTCCATGATGCTTCCATGGAAGTGGTAAAAAACTTCCATGGAAGTTAATCCGCTTCCATGGAAGCGCCCGATATCAACCGCTCGTTGCTTCCATTTCGGACTTCCACGGAAGCGCGATGAGCTTCCATGGAAATACTACTTTCATGAAGCTCGTCGCTGGACAAGAGTCTCTGCTACTTCCATGGAAGCACGAAAACTCCCATGAAAGCAACTTCCACCGAAGCGTCTGGACATGAGGTCATTGCAGCTTCCCCAACCCTAAACCCAAAGCAACACCACGGAAGCGTCTGGACATACAGTCATTCCAGCTTCCCTACCCCAACCCTAGCCCTAAGCCAGATAAGACCGTGGAAGCTGACCCGAGGTTGAATACTTCCATGGAAGCTGCCCTATACCTGTTTTGAAAGCTTCATGGAAGCCTAAGGTCCGATTTCCGTGGAAGTTATTCCACTTCCATGGGGTTTCCATGGGACTTCTGTGGAAGTTAACTTCTATGGAAGTGGCACATCCATATTTCATATCTTTAGTTCCATGGAAGTGAATATCGCTTCCATGGAAGTGCGAAACGTGTAGCTTCCATGGAACTGGTATCAGCTTCCATGGAAGTAGATCCAACTTCCATGGAAGCGGTACACATTTGGCAAATAGTGTGGGAGATCGCCCCCGGAAGCTAGGAAATTTCGAACCGTTGCATGGGTAACGACTTACCGACAAATGAGAAGGTGTCGGTGTATCGGTGTAAGAAGTGTTATACTCAGCGAGAACGAGGATAGGCCTAGGTTTTTGCCGTGGGGCTTTAGTAACTATGTGTTGAATAAGTTTTCAGAGTTGGCGACAACTGAAAAGACGTCAGGTTTCTCGAACCGTGCACTGGCGTTTTTCCGTCTCGGCCTTGCACATCATTCTTCTACCATACCAACAGTCGATACGTTCCTCCATTACACTGTGGGCTTTCTCTTTGAACAATGCCTACTACCCGCCTCTCCCTTTGGCCTTGCGATTCGGGCCCCGCCGCCCACTGGAGGGGCTTGAATGCCCCCAAGGGGAGCTTCGCCCGCCCCCCGTACGGCGGGCGGTCTCGCGCGATACCGATACAGCAGGTTAAAGAATGGAAGCAAACGTTTCAAGGTGCTGCCGTTGCTGAGGACATCGGCAAGTGGTGTAAGTTGTGCATGGCTGACGTGAGCTAGGGGATTTGCAGCTTTGGAAACCAAGCAATAAACGCTTCCGAACCATATGCGAACCGTTTGTGTCTCCCCCCTTGCGCTTCCCCTCGCTTATTTAATTTCTGCTCGTACCTTGCTGTCTGTCTCCGTTCCCCATGCCTTGCCCCAATTGTTGTCTTCCTTTTTCGTCCCCCCTTACTACGCCCTGGCGTGCCATCGATCGAAAAGAAAGGCATGCCTTCACAAGAAACCAGCCCAGCCTCGCTTCCTACCATGTCTCCCAATTCTGCCCCCCGCTGGTCGGTCTCGGCTATGGCCGTAGCCATGATGGTGATGAGCGCCTCGGCGGCGTCTGCTGACATGGGGCGTGTCGCGAACGGAGCGGACGCAGAGGAGAGGTTTTCCGCGGTAGACAAGGCGATCACGTGGGGCTACAACGGTGGCCGCGCATTGCAACGTGAGTCCCTATTCAAAACGGAAGCGAACAAGAATCGCAGCAAGCTGCTGCTGCTCTCGCGGCATGCGGAGAGAGCCTAGCAGCGGCAGCAGCAGCATCAGCTGCTCACCGCGTGAGAGGCGGGGAGTGTGGGCGGTGTGATGCATGAGTGTTCCGGTGCATGTATATTCCATGTGTGGTTTGCTCTGTTTTTTGGTTTTTTGTTCGTTCGTTCTTGGCTTGCATCCATCTGTCTGTGCGCTGGTGGGTGAAAAAACACTACCTGGTAATCGTTAAACCCCCACCCCACTCGAGCAACAACCGCTGTATTTCACGCGCGTGTCTTGGGCACCACAAGCAAAGAAAAAGAGGGTGGGGGAAGGAGGATGAACATGTCTCCTGTGCCTTTCCAGCCAAAACCAATGTTGTTGCGAACTATGGTCTATGACGTATATATATGTACCTTTTTTTTTTAAGGTCATTCATGGACCATAGGTTGCGAACGAAGGGACCATCGGTAGCTGAACCCCCATCTATACTATTCGGAGTTTGCGAGTGAAGAGTTGGCAAAAGTTCTTTAGCGCCTTCCAACCTACCGACAGAGGGATAAATCACCTCGCTCCACCGGGAGCGGCGAACTCCCAGCTTGCTCGACTTTGTTTCATTGTAGGGGGACCGGGCGCATGCGCGCGCGGCTTAGACCACTTGCGGGGAGAGTTACATAGTTAATCATGATGCCCCGCCGCTGGTCGGTGCATACACCCATTAACCCCCTTACCACGCACAGAAAATTCGGCGGTCTTGCGAAATTTCTGAAATGTAAGAAAAAGAGCGAAAGACGCCTGCTGATTGGATGGTGCAGACAGTTCCATCCCTGGGTGCAAGTGCAAAGCTGCCTTCCCACTTGAGCCGTCTCTTGTCTGTAATCCCTATCAATTGTCTCCTCGTTTACGAGGAGACAATTGATAGGGATTACAGACAGCAACTGGCGGGAGCGTGAATTAAACGGGGCACGAAAAGGAGGTTTTCAAGATATTTCTCTAGAGGGAAAGCGAGACCTTCTATCTCAAGCCCTAGGTTGCTTGGTGCCTCCTATCAGCGGTGGTCTAGGTACTTCTTCCGCGCTTGCCCCTAGAAGCGCTTTCCACCCAAGGGTAAACAGACGCGGCGCAACTTCGCTGTTGAACCGGCGGCGTAATCGCCCCACGATTCGACCTGTTCATTACCCTCATACTCCTCCACTCTACAAAGCATCCATACTAGACTAGAGTCGTCCCTGTGTACCCTGGCACCCCCCTGGTCGAGTAGTGCAAAGGAGGAGACAATTATGCCAATCTTGGCGAGGTAAAGCAGGTGAAAAAGATGGAGACAAAAAGTGTCCCCAAAAGGCGATCCAGCCCTAAAGGGGTTAACTTCCTTTTACATATATTCCCGTTCACACGGGAGGCCGCGTTTCGTTATTTTTTTTCGATCTTTGAATCGGGAATGAATGTGTCCGCGTCTCACAGCCAGTCTGGCTGTGGTTGGTAACCCCTACACGTAGGCTTCCTTTGTTGGACCTTCCGCCACACCTCCTTCGCAAGTGTGACGTCATAACGACAACAAACGGCGCCCTGCTATATTTAGCGCAGACTTCGTAGTTCCCTCAAGGGGTCTGAACTCCTGCAGAATGTTTTTCCCCGTGTGGACCAAACTGTTGCTGAAGTTGGGCGGAAGAAGACTTTGATTTTTTGTTGTTGTTGCCCGCTCAGGGTTCTCTCCACTCCACCAAATAAATTCTCATGACGGCCACAGGATCAGTTCTTGTGATTTGGTGCTGGTGCGTGAACGAAGCCAGCAGCCGCGTCTCGTGTGTCCAGAGTCAACAGGACGATGTTGTCGTGTTGTGCGTCACTCCTTCCTACCGTGATTGGTTTTGTGCGATTTTTTTGCTATTTTGTACTGCATGGTTCTTTCTTGAAAAGAACCACCAACTCGAGGAGCACATGGGTGCGTCACGCCAAATACCGTGTCCCACAGATAGATGTCGCTGGTCGTCCCGTTAAAAACAAAGTAGGGCACATGATGCACGATGGCATGCATTTGCGAGAAATACGGGTGGAATAATTTGTCGCTTCCAACGCGGGAGATCAGTTGGCGGACGTCCGTCCTTCGCTATTCTACCAAAAGAAAAACACTCTCACTTACAGTAAGTGTAATGTCTTGGTAATTGTTCGAAACGCGCGGCAGTCGCGGACACGGAACCCGTATCACGTCAAGAGCGCAAGGGTTTTCCCGGTGTCCATGCAGCGCGAACTACAGTTTGTTGCGGCAGCGGAGAAAGCTACGGGTCGAGATGGAGCTCAAGAATATTGAACGCTTCCTCGTCTTTGGTTTGCAGTAGTTGGGAGCGGGTGTACTGTAGGCGCTCGTCTTTTGTGCCCATAATCCTGTCGTTGTCTTGCTTTGAATGCATTTCGTGGCAATCAAAGGTCGACCGTGGTGGTGTACCGTTTTTCTTTCGTGTGGCGCGTTGATAGCAAACCTGTTCTTGGCTCCCGTTCTTACGTAGCCCTGCCTCCTTTCTGCTCGTGTCTGCCGACCTGTCTTATTTTGTCTAAAGCGCAAGAGGAAGGGACCTTGGCCCCTGCCCCGGCCCTGGCCATGACGGCCGACGCCCCATCCCCCACCCCATCCCTCACCCCGCCCTCGACCATGGCTGCGGAAGAGGGACAGACCGTGGCCCCTGCCCCGACCCTGACCATGGCGGCCAACACCGAGGCCCCTGATATTCGTCGTCATCTTCGCGACGGCGCTGCTTGAGGAGGAGGAGACCCTGGCGCCGACCATGACCCACTATAATAGCTGGGACTGCTGTGTTCGCAAAAAACGTTCTGCGGATGCCCCCAAACTCGAAGTTGTGGAAGTTGTTCTTCTGTTGATATCACCCGTGTCTGTTGACGTCGACCCATAAGATCGAGCGTGGCTGAAAATGTGAGGTCTGTCTAACATCGGTTGTCCTTCATCCACGAGGGCAAGGAAAGGGAAAGCAAGCAAGCAAGATACGGAGGGGGGCGTGTACTGACGTCCTACAGTAGACCACACAAGGAAGGAACCTCTGTTCCATGTCGTTGTATCCTAACGTAAATATGCAACAGCAAATCAGGCACGGAGCCCACAGAACAAATACAACCGTTTGGAGGCAGAAAGACGCGTGAGTGGGGGGTACAGGAAGGAGGGATGGCGTAGGTTTTGAGGAAGGTGTTGGCGAGCGCACGTCATTCAGATGCGAGCAGGCCGTTCTCGTCGTGCAATCCGCACCCTCGAGAGTGCTCTGGAAGGAACGCTTCTTGAGTTGCGGTCAACGCAGCTTGCCGTCTTACTTTTGGCACTCACTCAATCTTCCCCAATACAAAAATACACGAGCATCCGCCGCCGTTTCTTTGCATGCGAGACACCTGACGATGGTGGTTTACAGCCTTTATCGCTTGAGCAGTGGTAGCATGCAGCACCTGTGGCAGCCACATGCCCCAAGTTGATCACACATCCCACCACGTCCTGAATCGCCACCGAAGATTACCGAAGAGTCCGTGTTCCACGTTCCACATGGTCTATTGGCTGATTATGAATTGTTCCCTAAACCTGTTGTGCGGAGTGAGGCCTTGTCTCATCCAGATTGTTGCACCCACACCAACAGGAAGAACAGGAAGATAGCAGGTCCCTGTTTGATTGGGTGAAATGATGACAAGACCGCCTTTTTTTGTCTGCCTGAAGCTCCAGCAAACAATACCACTCTAGGTCAGAACACCCATGAAGATTCATTTAATTGAAATCAAGCAGTTCATCGAACCGGAACCCAGAATTCCCAATAGCGACCAAAATTCGCTCTATTGGAGTAAGATGGCAAAGGGTCACTTGCTCTGTTGTTGTTGTTGACGATGTTGTTGTTTTCTTCACACAAAACTCGTGTCAGCTGCTAATCCCAAAAACTACATAGCAAAGACTCGGTCCGTCGTCACAAAAATGCTGTAGAGCCTTGTAGAGCCATCAGAAGATCTAAAGAACACGCACACTTTGCAAGAAAAGAGTACACAAGCCGAAGAGGACGCCGAAAAAAGAATCTCCTCGTTCTTACTTTCATCGAGAGTTCGATTTTTCCCTTACAGACTCGTCTCTTGGGTGAACTCATTCGAGGAATCTGCTTTCGCCCGGAGACCAGGACCGACCATGTCAGGTTTCAACGCTCTCGTATATCGTACGCTTGAGCAGAGGTGTGACAATGAGTAACATTGTTGGTTGGGCAGGAGCCACGGCGGGCATCTTCGTCTGCCCGGTTCCTGTTGTTGCATACATGTGGGTTACGTTACGGCATGTTGTTGTGCAGTTCGGCTTGTGCTACTCTACGCGGTATTTTATTGTTGACGTGGGTTGCTTCGGTAGATCGCCGGGTTCCCTTCTCTCTGCATACAGTTAACCATTAAATGGTTGAAGCAATGAACACGTCTTTAACGGAAGCTACATTCTTGGATAGTAGCGGATTACGCCGCTCCTTCACCGGTCTCACGCCAACAATTCCCGGGCGAAACACGAAACACACAAGCAAGCTTGGGCGGCCTGGGGAAACTGTGCTCAAATCACAAAGAAGGCTTTGCGACGCTATGGCGACTAAACTTCGATCGTCGAAAGGAGCAGGCATATTCTTGTACATGGTACACACAAGTGGTTGTAGACGTGAGCATCTTCGGAAATTCGAATCCTCTTAAGCGCTATGCTTTTCATCGTTTCACATATTTCCACGAACTCATTTGAGTTTGCAGTCTCTTCGCTACTTACATGTCTCGCCTCCATTCACGGACCGCACGCGGCGCCTTCATCGGCGACGGCGAGCCAGGCTCTCCAGCCGTTGTCTCTCTCAGGACACTACGGCCCGAGGACAATGTACCTTACGGTCACACTGCAGATAGCCCGTGTGCAAGTTTCGGTAAGCTACCGAACGGCACGCCGCCTGTTTTGAGGAAGCCTACCGAACCCTGCATAGTTTCGTCGATGCTGCCTACACTGTCGCAGCACGAGATCGTCATGGACCGCAGACGAGTGGCCACCACGGTAGGCCAAGGCCTGCCGACTAGCACATTGTGAAAAACAAGGGATAGGTCGGGCCGAAAAATAAACGTTTCCCGACGAGACTGCTCGTTGTCAAATGAGGACTCCCATGCTGCTATTAATAGCCTCCCACACACGAAGGCAAGCGCCACGGTGTTCCCCGCCCGCATGGTTGCGATCTGTCTTGAATTTGCTCCCAAGGCACCCACTAACTCTCGTCGTCACCGGTGTCGCGGACTCCTGCCGGCAGGGCTCGCTCCACCATTCATTTTTGGCTCTCAAGGATGCCAAGAGCTCTCACGCTGTCACTCGCGACCGCCAACAGCCGTAACTCATTCTCGATGGAAATCTCTCCCGCCCTTTTCTTATTATGGCTTATCTGTTGTTATTTAACCCTAGCGACGAGGTTTTCTCAAACGATTCATTCCCTGGTCGGTTTTTATTACCGACTCTAGCTGGTCCTTGACATCGTTAAACGGACTCTGTTTCTTATATTGTGATGACATGATTCCCTCCCCCTGACTCAACTTGTTCACACAACAGACCACATGACTCTGTGCGATATATATCTAATGTCTTCACGCTATACTCAGACAACAAGGTCACAAGGTAAGATCGCCGTCGTGAGCGAGCATGATGAGCGTTAAAAAGAAATAAGAAGGTACCCGAAACAACAGATGGCCACTTACACAAAAATAAGCGAGAAGCATCCTATTTCCTTCACTACTGCTGGCATCTCCAATTAATACTCTCTCCTGACAAGTGATGCAAGCAACCCCTAAACTGCACAAAACCATGTATCAGAACGCGCCTGTGGTAAGTGCATCAGTCTTAATAATACTCCTCTCCAACCAAACCCTTCTCCGCGGCATTCTCCTCGAAGAGGTGTCTCCTACTTGTTGGAAAACTACTCACTTCCCCAGCAGCGTTCCTTGATAAATTTAGACTACAACCCAGCGCTAACAATTTTCGTCCAGACCTTGCGTTCCCCCAATCACACTCAAACGAAACCCTCCCCCAACAAGAACAGGAACACGCAGCCACAGCGTTCGGAGAGAGAGATTTATATAGAGAGAGAGTTCCTTCAGGCCCTTGTCACTCAAATACAAACTCAAACCGCCGCCCGGAGACGCGTTCTTCTTCCCTTCACCGTCTCTGCCGCTTCTCGCCGGACCCGCCGCCACCGCTGCTCTCCCCCCTGGAACTCCTCCTCTTCCCCCCGGTCCCCGAGGGCGAATCGCCTCCGTCGACGTCCATGTCCGAGGCGAAGCTGGAGATGGCCGCGGACGCGGCAACGGCGGCGGCTCGCCGACTGGTCTTGCCGCCCTTCCCGCGGGGGGTCTCCCAGGCCTTGGCCATGCGCGCGCGCGAGCGGTTGGCTTCCAGCATGGATTCCTGCAGGCGGGCGGGCGGGCGCGGGGGGGGGGGGGTTGTACTCATGTAAACGCATACCCGTAGGCGGCCAAGAAAAAACCCCAAATAACGGCACGCCCGGGCCGAATGGAAAGGCCGGGTTTTCCCCGGCCCAGCCACCTGTCCCCAGGGATACCAAAAACCGGGCCTGGGCCCTGGGTTTGCTGTGGCCAAACCGAATTTCCCTGGGTTGGGTGGGGATCCCCGCCAAACGGGGGGTTAACATTTCGCGGGGAAGAAAATGCCTCAAGGGGCCCAAAAGAACCCCCCAACTCCGCGCCCGGGACCAACCCGAAGGGGGGGGAACCCGGGTCTTTCGCCCCCCCAAATTTTCCAAAAAGTTTGAAAAAATGAAGGAAAAAACCGCTGGGGTCCACAGTTGTGTTTG